AACCTATCTTCAAGCTTGAATTCACTGATCCTGAACTAAAAAGTGAGCGATTGGCATGGTTATTCCAGTAGTTCGAGTTATTTTTTCGGGAGCCTCGATTGATGAATTTATCTTAGCATCGCGATTTTCGTTGATTTCTTGAACAAATGCTACTGAAAGAAACTGTTATTTGCGCTTAATTGTTCTGCAGCAAGGGCTCTACTGATCTTGGATGATATGTTCTAAAAATATTCATGCAAATTGTTTGCTCACTGCAAACATTTCCGTGATAAACATCTTATCAAGTCATCATTAAGTTGACATTACTGTTGGTTTGAGTGGTTTTATTGTTTTTACGATATTTGCTAGTTGATAACATGACACGTGGAGTGAATGTACAAAGGTTACTATTACACATGGGGCAACAGAACGAAAAACACAGTTCAATTTGCAATTAACTCCGACTTTCACCGAAGAAATTCATTCTTTATGGGAGCAATGATCATGAATTCACGAGAAAACTTGTTTTGACTTGGAGCAATAAAGGATCATTAAAAACTACCAGATCTACCATTTATCATTACCAATGTCGAAAATTTTCCTAACTTTTCAACTCAGAAAGAACAAATTTTAAGAAGTCATAATGAAGCGAAATGTATTCAAATATTACTTCATTTCGTTATCCAACGGAAAACACACTAGTGAAAGAATGTGGTTATGAAAGATAAGCCGAGGAATGATTCCGTAGAGATATGTATGCCGTGACTGTTGCTCTAGAATCCATCAGTATTAGTTAAGACGGCTAGTTAAGATCTCCATATCAGAATGTTCAGCGGTTGCTGCGATTATCAGCCTTCTGAAGCGATGTTACTCGAGCTTACCTTACCCGGTAAACTCGAAAATTTTACTTTTCTAACACAATCAGCACTGAATTTAATGCTGACCCATCTTTAGCTTTCGTCATTTCCTATTCGAGTGAGCGATTTCAAAACTGCATCAAATATGATGAAATATAGTAGCAGATGTTCGATGTTGGTTCTTTATTGTTGGATTTAGATCGTGAAATCGGCACCAAAAGGCCGTTTCGCCGGACTGAAACGTGCATATGAGGTGGAGGATGTACTGAAGCTAAAAGGATCCATCGATATCGAATATACATTGGCGACTCGAGGTGCAAATAAGTTATGGCAGTTGCTACATACAGAACCGTATATCGCCGCACTGGGCGCACAAACCGGAAATCAAGCTGTTCAGATGGTTCGGGCTGGACTGAAAGCCATTTACCTTTCGGGTTCGTTTCCGAACAACTTCTTTAGTTGGACCTCACGCCAAGCATATCGGAGATTCAGAATTGCTAGAATCACATAAATGACCTGATAGAGATGAAATGGACATTCGGAAGTGTTCCCGAACGAAAACAGAATGAAATTTTTAAGCGATCATATTTTCTCCTTAAAAACATCGTTCGAAAGTTCCATAGCATCTGATTAATGACACGACGGCATAAAAATAACCTGATTCGTGTGTTTTTTCATAAAAACAACCTGCTTCGATATACTATATTTTGAATCCTATATGACTTAACAAGTCTCAAAATGGTGTTTAAGGTTGGCAAGTGGCTGCAGACGCGAATTGTGCAGGTGATATGTATCCTGATCAGTCGCTGTATCCTGCAAATTCTGGTCCTGAACTTTGCAAACGCATTAACAAATCTCTACGACGAGCCGATCAGGTAAATGGGGAAACCATGCAATTGTGGAGAAACTGTTGGCTTATCATCACCCAAAACATTTGTGGGAGATTTATTTTTGTTGTAGCACTGAAATGCTAGAAGAATTGTGTTTTACAGGTAGAAGCTGTTGAAGCAGAAGACTATCTTTCACCACGCGATTGGTATGCACCAATTGTCGCGGATGCTGAAGCCGGATTCGGTGGTTCTCTCAACTGTTTCGAACTTATGAAGGTAACACTTCTACCTTGACCGATCGCGCTTTATTCAAAGATCACTCTAATTCTGATTGGTTTTGTCACATTCAAAAACATTGCTAACCACAGGTTCGAGAAATCGAATGCCATATGCGCTGTGCTTCATGGGCATACTCCAGTTTCTGATCTCAAGATCGTTCGTTATTAGGATTCAATTTTTGGTTGCGGTTATAGGAATATTCACTTAATGTGAAGACACTGCTACCATATCACAGTATTTTAGTGATTGCTTTCGAGATTACTTCATTGCAGTAGCTGAATGCACAAACGCATTAGTTTGTCTTCAGTTTTTGGTCGTGAGAAGTAATTTTGATTACGGAATGCGTACAAACTATTCAGCTGGTCCTAATTAAAATTCTGCCGATCGTGAGATAATCTCATTACATTTGAGAATTTTATGAAACAAAATGAATGAAACAAAAACGCTAAATTTATTTGTGAAAGTGCAGCATCAGTCGCACGATTCATGATCAGATCTTATCAAGACCGAGCTGAATGGAATATT